GCTTTATCCCCACGCCCCCCCTGCCGCCGTTGACCCCCAAGCCCCCGCCGGCTCTGACCGCGCTCCCTCCCCAGGTGTGTGAGGAGCAGCGCTGCGAGGAGGAAGTCTTCCCGCTGGCCATGAACTACCTGGATCGCTACCTGTCCTGCGTCCCCACCCGAAAGGCGCAGTTGCAGCTGCTGGGCGCGGTCTGCATGCTGCTGGCCTCCAAGCTGCGCGAGACCACGCCCCTGACCATCGAAAAGCTCTGCATCTACACGGACCACGCCGTGTCTCCCCGCCAGATGCGGGTGCGTGGGTAACGCTCCCCTCCGCCCCCCGCGCACCGGCCCCCGACGGCCCAGGCGGAGGCACACGGCGCCTCGGAGGCTCTCTGCCCTCCTGGGGAGGGTTTCGGGGGGGGGGAAGCCAAGGGCTTTCTTCTGGGAAAAGAACCGTTCGCCGGACAGTGTGGTGTGGTGGGCAGCCCCCCCCCGTGCCCCCAGACCTCCGGGTGCCGCTCCTTCCTGGCCTTTCCCCGCTAGCGGCGAGCCCTGTCCACACTAGCAGTACTTTGCCTCCGGGTTTGCACAGCCACCCTTGAGTTATTTATTGGCAGCAGAAGGGCACAAGCCCGCACACCCCCGCCGGGTGGGGAGTGGAATGCGCGTCTCCGGGGGAGGGGCTGCCTCACCGAGGATCCCCGGGTGGACTTTGTGATAGGAAAGCTCCCCAGCGGATTAAAGCCAGGCCCTGATTGCCCTGCGGAAGTGCTGAGGTATTTCAACCCACCCACCGCTCTCCTTCCCCTTCTGTCCCCGAGACACAGCCCCTTCCGAACCCTCCCATCCCTGTCCTCGTTCTGAGACGCCGAAGCAGCTGCTCTGGGCTCAGGCGAAAGTCTGTCCCTTTCCCCCTTGGCCTGGCGGGAGTGGGGAGCACGGCGCCCCCTCCTCCTGCCCGCCCACTGACCAGGGCTTTCATAACCCTGCGGGGAGCTGCCGTCACTCCTGTGGTTTGGGAAGTGGCTCCTTGGGCCTCTTGCTGGGGAATGGGGCCCGGGTTCCTCCAGGCAGGGCTAGAGTCACAGTCCTGCCTGTGCCCCTGGGGGCTGGAGCTGTAGGATCTGGGAGAGGGCACGAGGGGCGCCAGGCATCCTTTCCCCAGAGCCGTGGGAGCTGGCACCTCCCTTCACCTAGCTCTGGCGGCCTCGCCTGCTCCTGACCCCAGAGGCAGCTGGGGCCCCGGCTCCCAGGGAGGAGGGCAGAGAGCAGGCGCTGTGATTGGCTGGCGGGGATGAGGGTACTGGGGCCCCTGGCTGCTGCGAGTGGAGGAACTGGATTCCTCTTCCTGCCAAGTAGCTCTCAGAGATGGGAGTAGGAGGCCGGAGTTGGGAGTCTGGGAGGCCCCACCGCGCTGTGATGAATCTGGTAGTTTCTGGCAAGCCTGAAGGTGGGGCTGGTTTCCAGGGCCGGGGAGCAAGTTTTTGGAGGGGTTGGGGCTGGAAGGTGGAAGGGGACTTCCTCTCAGTGACAAAATTGGAGTGGAGCTGGGGGTGGAGACATGATTCCTAGAAGGTTAAGACCCAGAGAAAGGGAGAGCGGGGCGCCTTGCAGTCCGGGTGTGGTGGCTCCTGCAGCCCATCCCGCCCCGTGTATGTGTTCCACAGAGCCGGGCTGGGCCTCTGGGGGGGTGGTGGCCCCGACATGCTTCCTGGGAGAACCCCGCTCCCACTTGCCTCCGGGGTTCGCTGAGAGCCTAGGTGCTTTCTCTGCACCCTGGGTAAGGAATTTGGGAAGAGCCCTGGGAGCAGAACCCTGGCTTCTTTGCTCCCTTCTGGCCACAACTCAGCTTTTCTCTCTGGACGCTGGGAGGGTTGGGGTGGATGATGAGGTGGGGACCGAGAGAGGGACAGCTGTGGCTGGGGGCCTGGAAGTAGGGTGGGGCCACTGTTGCAGCCTCAGTAAGGAGTCAAACCCACTAGTTCCTTCCTGAGATAAAACAATGAAGAAATCCTCAAGTGTGCAGTTTGGAAATGGGGCCAGGTCTGGGAAGCTCCCATCCAGTGGACTGGGGTGGGGCCCGTGCCGTTAGCCTGGCAGGTGGGGACAGGGATTGGCCCCTCAGAGGTCATCTGGGTGCATTCTCTCTGGCCTGGCCGCCACCCCCCATGCCCAGTCAGGTGGCACTGGAGCAGGGTGGGGGCTACACCACAGGACCCAGCCCTGGTGTCCCACCAAGGGGATGTGGGTTGGGTTGGGTAACCTCCCCTTTGAGGAACCTCAGAGTCTCAGTGGCTGTCATGAGTGGCCTCATTTGCTGCCCCTTCAAGAGGTGGCAGCTTGTCTGGGATGCAGGGCTGTCAAGGGGCGGCCGGCAGCAAACTCTCCAAGTCTCCAGGGTTTCGTGAATCTTTGTGCTTCACCTCCAAGGGACCTCAAGTTGGCGGTGGTGCGGGTGGCATCGGGATCAAAAGGGATAATTCACGTCACACACATAGTGGTGACTGATCAGTAGGCACTCAGGTGCCCTGAGTTGCCATTCCACTGTGCCAGTCCCTGACCCGCAGCACAGCGTGATTTGTGCTGGGCTTCCTTCCTGGCGAGGCTTCTGCCGTCTCCCCCAGCCTGTTCTCTAGCCGGTGAATCTCCCCTTTTTCCCCAACCCCAGGAGTGGGAGGTGCTGGTCCTGGGGAAGCTCAAGTGGGACCTGGCGGCTGTAATCGCGCATGATTTCCTGGCCCTGATTCTGCACCGGCTCTCTCTGCCCAGTGACCGACAGGCCTTGGTCAAAAAGCACGCCCAGACCTTTTTGGCCCTCTGTGCCACAGGTAAGTAAGTGCCCTACACACACATTGCCCAATTGGGAAAATCAGAAGACTTGGAAGAGTGAGAAATAACTAGGAAATTCCTAGTTATTCACTCCTGAAAATGATGCCCCTTGCAAGCCCCTGGCTGCAACGCAGAAGTGGATCCTAATCCCAGCTGGGTGGGATCTGGCAGACCTCTGTGGGTAACCCCAGAGCTACCTGAGAAGTGACCTGTCTTGGGGAACAGCTGGGTTTCCACACCAGGGGCTTTCAGGAGTTCTCTACCCTGGGAGGTTTGCTGTTCACCCCGTCCTCTGGCTAGGGTGGGTAGGACTCAGTGACATCCCGCTTATGCACTGTGCACGAGGCCCGAGTTCCACCCTCAGCACAGCAGAAAACCAAACCAGCCTGATCTCTAGAAAAGGCTTTCACGCTTTGCTCCCTTGCCCACATCTCACCACACCCAGTGTGCCCACCACACCCACGGTCCCCAGTGTGCCGCCTGCCTGCACTTTCTGAGGTCTGAAGGCCAGGATGGCCACCCGCGCTCCTGCAGGCTTCCTTGAGCTCCCTTTCCTCCTCTCCAAGATTACACCTTTGCCATGTACCCGCCATCCATGATTGCGACAGGCAGCATCGGGGCTGCGGTGCAAGGCCTGGGCGCCTGCTCCACATCCGGCGATGAGCTCACGGAGCTGCTGGCGGGCATCACAGGCACCGAGGTGGTGAGTGCTGGGCACCCATGCATCAGGTGGCGCTGTTCCCGGAGCCTCCAGCAGAGGGCAGCGGCCAATCCCACTGGGACCCAACTCCTGGTTTCACACAGTGGGCTTTGCAGCCCTTTATCTCCTGCCTTGGTCTGGAGAGGAGTGGGTATTAGGGTGGAGTAAAGGGCACTGGCCCAAGGTGCCCCTTGCCTGCCAAGTGTGTGTTGCGGCAGGGGTGGGGGGCCCGGTGTCAGATGCAGGCTGCTGTCACACCCTCTCGCCACATCCTCTTGCCAGTTTCTGAGAACCGAAGCCCTGATTCCTGGGGTTTGGGCTGTGGCCTAACCTCCCCGGCCTTCCCTGGCGTGGGAGGTGTCCCTCCCCTGCACCTGCTGTCCATGCTGTGGGAGGAGCAGCCCTCACGGTCCCGTTGTCCCCAGGACTGCCTACGGGCCTGCCAGGAGCAGATCGAAGCTGCGCTCAGGGAGAGCCTGCAGGAGGCCTCCCAGACTGCCCCCAGCCCAGCGCCCAAAGCCCCCCGGGGCTCCAGCAGCCAGGGGCCCAGCCAGACCAGCACGCCCACAGATGTCACTGCCATCCAGCTGTAGCCCCGGACAGGCCCCCAGCGGCCGCCACGCAGAGGAAGGGCTGCCGCCACCCCTCCCTAACTCTGGAACAATCCTTGCCACATCTGAAGACCGAGGGACCAGGTCTTGCCTTCCCTGCCTGCCGTATGGGGCCCCCAGCCAAGCAGGCATCCGGGCGTCTGGCTGCTCTTCCTGCGTCTGACCACCTCTGCTCCTTCCTGGCTCTGGCCAGGGCTGGGCCACGCTGGTCAGATGGGATGGGAACGGGGGACTCCCTGCACCAGCATCTTTTAGAAGCCACATCCTTGGTGCTCTCATTCTTAACTAAAATGCTTTGGTGCCTTCTAAGGTGTCCCCCTCCTGGGGTTACTGTTCGGATGGGTGCCAGGGTACCCTGCTGCTCCTAGAGGGAAGGCTAGCCTGGGCCAGAGTTCTTGCTTTGCTTTCTGCTCAGCTTCTCCTGTGCTTGGGGTCTGGTGCTGAAGTGGCTGTTTTAATTTATTACTGCTCCGAGTACAACTGTAAGGGGTGCAGTGGGCATGCCTGCCCCACAGGCGCCGGAGCCCTGGCGGTTGCTGCTGCTTCTCTCCCCCACTGCTGCCGGCTACAGAAGCTTTGTGGCCCAGGAGCTGCTACAGCCTGGGGCAGGGTCGAGCCCTCCTCTCCCTCAGCCCTGTCCCTTCCTCCAGCAGGAAGTATGGGCAGGGACTCTGGAGGTGGCCAGGCCCCCACTGGAGAGGGAGGCAAGCTCTGCAGACACAGGCCTTTCCTAACCAATGCCACAAGGTTCAGGCTGGTGGCCTGGGACAACTATGCTGCCTTAATAAATATTCTGGAAGAAAATCGCCTTTGGCTTCTGGGATTTCACGGTGCTGTGAATAAAGCCTATTTCTAGAAGGCATGAGGTGAGGTGCGTCAGTTGTGTAAAGGAAGCATGGACTAGGCCCAGATGCAGTTCAGTGGTGCTGTGCCTGCCTGGCAAGCACAAGGCCCTGACTTCGATCTCAGGTGCAAAAAAAAAAAAAAAAAAGCATGGATTGTCATTTCTGTAATGAGCTTGTGGGCCACAGTCTCTCCCCAAGGCTGAACAAAACTGCAGATCAGACCCCTCTGGCTAATGGGAAAAGGGGACTCAGGGTATGTCTTGGTAGGTGGGGTGGATATGGCTCAGTGGCAGAGCACTTCCCCAGCACCTCAGATTTATAAGGTGACAGCATGGTCAGATGTGCGCACACCTGTAATCCCAGCATTTGGGAGGCCAAGGTAGGAGGATTGCTTAAGTTCTAGGCCAGCCTGGGCTATACAAGACCAGCCCAAACGACATAGTGAGACCCTGTCTCAAAAAACCCCACATGGTTTTACATGTTAAATGGGAAGGATATAATCGGTGTAATAAGTTCGATCACTGTTGTGTAGGTCACGTGTTCTGATTGATGCAGGGGTGGGAGTGGACGGCACCATCAGATAAGGGCAGGTGCCTAGAGGAAGCTGGGCACCGCTGTGCTCCAACAAAACAAATTTGGCAGGCACCCTGCCCGAGTGACATCAGCCCTCCAACAACTTCCTGTGAACACAAATTTGAATTTGGTGTTATTCTTACCTGTCACAAAATACTTTAACTTTTCTCCCAACCATTTAAAAATAAGAAAATACCATTCTTGGTCGGTTACAAAACAGGAATTTGGCCCTAATTTGCCTACAACTTGTCTTTCTTAAGCTTCAGTGGCCAAAAATCTCGGAGCCTGTTCAGAGCTGACCTGGGCCTAACCTCTCCAGCCCTGACCTTTTCTCTCCCTGACTTCCCTAGATGAGGGGTGCTCTGGTGACGCCTTTCACCCACAGCCACTCCCCACTGGCACTGTGGCCACGTCAGGGCAGACAATAGGGAGCCTGGGAGGAAGCCTGCAGGTCAGGGGTGGCAGCTCTGAGAAGCCCCCTGAGATAGGGATGGGGCGACGTGACCCACCTGCAGCCAGAGCAGGGGAAGGACGGGTCAGCAGCACCATGATGGTTTCAATAAATACCTGCCTTTGATTTTATCCACGTCCCAGTGACCCGACAAAGCAGCCGAAAGTGCTGTGCCAGCCTCAGCCGGGGAGTGGGGACGCGGGCTGTGGGGCCCCCCAGAGTGAGCAGGGTGAAGGCCCGGAACGGAAGGGGGATCCAGCAGCTCAGTCTTCTCTGCCCAGACCTGGGAGCCACAAATGCCGTCACCTGTTAGGGTCCCAGTCAAGGTCCAGTGCCATCTTTGGTCACCAAGACAGGTGACTGCCATCCTCAATCCATGGTGACAGGGACAGCTTCCACATCTCTGGGGACAGCGCTCTGAAGCTCACGCCTGATCTCGGGGGACAGCTGCGGGTGGGGCTGTAGCCGGAGCAGTTCCATCAGGGCCTCCTTCTGATCCGAGGCCAGGTCAGCCTTGTAGCGCTGGGCCAGCGTCAGCAGGCACTGGTGCCAGAGCACGGGCAGCTCGCGCTTCTCCGTCCGAAAGCCCAGGAAGTGGAAGACAAGGGCGTCCAGCACCCGGTAGGGCAGCGCATACTTCTTATCCAGCAGCAGCCGCAGGAAGACGCTGTTGGCTGCGCCG